TCGTCATCCTGCCACTTCTTTTAGTGATAAGTATGATTGTATCAATTAGTATGATTTATCCAAAGAAAGGAATGAGATTAAAGCATTCCTTCCTTATCTTTCCTTTCCCCCAATTTTGTATCTAAAGTCATGTAAAGGATCACCAAAATCTCATACTATCTTTTTGCTTCCTTCACCTTCCTTCTATTTAAGCAAAATATTAAAGTTATTGTTTAACTTGTCTTCCATTTTTTTACTTAGTGTCGCAGCCCACTCCCTCTTCTTTTAAAGTGTGTCCGGAGCACACTTATACTTTTTACTTAATTAAATAATAAAAATTAACTTTCATTAATATACAGAGTATACAGAAGCATTACATTCATTGAATAATATACATCATCTATAAAACAATACAATAGTCTAAAATTTTTCTTTTCTTATAATATAAAAGTATACATTGGTAACCTAATCTCTAACTTCTCAACTTCTCCTTCGTATCATATACTATTCTACATGGGAATCCTCACTATCTAAAAATGATGGGGGAGTGAGATATACTATCTCAATAAATAGATATTATGACAATATAATTAATAAATGCAATATATATAACTTTCAAACACATCAAAACATATATATCTAACATACTTTTCTTGAAAACATGTTCACTTTTACTAAAAACATATGCATAGTCAAAAACTGAAATCAGAATCACGATTCAGAAAATACTCTGTTGTATTGTACAATGTGATACACTCTCACATGTACCAGCTCACTCAGTAGGTATAGTGCGTCACATTGTATAACAAGCCACATGTTTTAGAATTAGAAAGCAGATGCACTTTTGTGACATCCCAGGTGCCAGTTAAGGTAAATAAGTATTAGATATAGATTCAGAATAACGAGTGCATGATGATATTTATGCAGCGGAATCAAAGCTTAACAAATCTCTTACAAATATATATATATAATGTTCCAAATACATATATTATTGAGGCCAGAAGTGGTAACAAAATACAAAATATAATGGTCACTTCTTTCACTATGCTACTAGAATTCATCAGAGTACGGAAACAGTTATGTACTCAGACTTATAGATCCACGGGATCCTCATAAACTTCTAATGGTAGGTCTGTCTACGGTTCCTCATTTTCTTCCTCATCCGGAGGGGGAGG